ATACTTTCCTATAACAAAATAGACGTGCAGAAAGAAATTAATAAAATATCTTGCATATGCATAGTTGTATGTTCTATATAGATTTTTCTTAACTTTTCTTAACAAAATGACAAAATTTTGTAATTTATCATTGTTTTATTAAACTCTGAAAACTGTGTAGCTTTAATATTCTGTCTTAAATGTCTGTCTGTCTTAACCCTGATATGTTAAGACTATATTCTCATTTTATTGTGTTTTTTTGGTCCTTATTATTCCGACTTAATTCTCATAATAATACAAATTTATTCTTCAAATATTACAACGTTACTCTCTTACTTGACTTTATGCTCATAAGACTTTAATCTCTAAATGTTCTGACTTTCTTTTCGGATTATTTCGACTTTATTTTTGTATTAGTACAATTTTATTATAGTAATATTATGACTTATTCCTGTAGTATTTTGACTTTATTCTCGGATTATTTCGTAATAAAAATATTACGAGTTTACTCTATTAATCGACTTTATTCTTGGCTTTAATGCTCCTTTGTAGTTTTGAAGTGACAGATTTACCTGCAGAAAAAGGGAGGAATGCTGGGTTTTTCTTAAAGTTGCCATTCTGGTCTAGAAAGTGCTGCGGGTTGAAGGAATGCGGAGTTGCCCATTGCTTTTCCTCTTTCAGCACAGAGTGCAGCAACGGTACGATCACAGTGTCCTGGGGGAAAACAGCAGGACAAGGAGTTACAACCAAGGATCAGAACTAACTGCTTAACTCTGCTGAGCGAACCAGCTGTTCAGTTTCCACAGATTTAAAAGAATTTTACATGATCTTAACAATGAAGATCATATTCTAATGTTTATCAAAATCAATATATGAAATAAACTTACATGATCTTCCCACAATAAAAATTTGAGAAAAGTGCTCATATTCTAATGTTTTTTTAATCGATATGTAAAATGGTTTAACTTAAATCCTTTTACCTTACAGTCTTGATTGTCTGAAACACCTTATATTTCAACTGGCCAGTAGGGGGATTGAACCCATGACCTTGGTGTTATCAGCATTAAGCTCTGACCAGCCGAGCTAACTGGCCATTCAGATGGATGAATATTCATTGATTTGTTAAAAACTTAGATGATCTCAACAAAAGTGCTCACATGCTAATGTTGCTCAAAATCAACTTGTATAAAGGTATACTTTGTTGCATTTTTTATTTTTGACATGTTGATTTTATTTTCCAGCACTTTATTTTAAAATGTTGATTTTATTTTAGAACCATTTTTTATTTTAGAGTGTTGATTTTATTTTAGAGTGTTGATTTTATTTTTGAACCATGTTTTATTTTAGAGTGTTGATATTATTTTTGAACCATTTTTTATTTTAGAGTGTTGATTTTATTTTTGAACCATTTTTTATTGTGAAGAGTTGATTGTCTGAGAGACTTTATATTTGAATTGACCAGTATGGGGATTGTACCCCTGACCTGAGTGTTACCAGCACCACACTCCAACCTCCTGAGCTATCCTACCTTACAGACTGTTGAGTTTCCATGGATTTAAGAAGGACTTACATGATGAAGATTTGATAAAAGTGCTCATATTCCTATGTTTTTCAAAATCAATATATGAAATGGTTTAACTTAAATACCTTTGGTACTTTAAAGTTGATTGTCTGAACCAATTTATATTTCAACTGACCAGTATGGGAATTGAACCCATGACCTTGGCATTATTAGCACTACGCTTTAACCAGCTGAGCTAACCAGCCACATGCATTCTGGGCTTCTCATTGAGGTGGTTAAAGGTCAGCAAGGGTTCGATGGTGCAGCGGTCTGTACTCTGAATCCAGGCATCTGAGTGCAAACCTCACTAGAAACTTGATGTGTTGCATCTGACATCTTCAAATTTGGAACCTCAAACTGAAACAAAGGGAACTTAAGTTTCTGTAGTGTAGTGGTTATCACGTTTGCTTCACACGCAAAAGGTCTCTGGTTCGAAACCAGACAGAAACAGATTTTGTAGGTTGTGCTTCTTACAGTGTGTATTGAGACAACAAGAGTCTTCCTCTTTCATGATGGTTCATTTGCCAATCGACTTCAATCTAGTCATCTTTGAAATCGAGGCTACTTTACTCAAAATGCCACTTGGTGGTTCTATGGTGTAATGGTTAGCACTCTGGACTCTGAATCCAGTGATCTGAGTTCAAGTCTCAGTAGAACCGTTTGTCTCTGTTCCTGACATCTTCAATTCATTATTTGATCTAAAGCTTAGTTTATGGACTATAATGTGAAATTAGGCACTGGTATAAGTCTGACAGTTTGTTCACCAAGTTACTGAGTATTCATGGATTTAAGAAAAAACGTACATGGTCTTACCACAATAAAAATTTGACAAAGTGCTCGTATTCTAATGTTTTTTGAATCAATGTGTAAAATGGTTTAACTTAAATCCTTTTGTTACTTAGTCTTAATTGTCCAAAACATTTTATGTTTCAACTGGCCAGCATGGGTATTGAACCCATGACTTTGGCATTATTAGCACCGCGCGCTTTCAGCATCGATTTGCTAAAAACTTAGATGATCTTAACAAAAGTGCTCATATCCTAATGTTTTTCAAAATCAACTTGC